AGAAACGGAGAGAAACATATTGCAACTAAGAGAACAGAGCTAACACAATCACAGTAGCAGGCTAACTGGTCACTCCAGTTCAGCTTAAACACAGGACTCCTGAAAGGGAGTAATGGGAAATGAAGAGAGACAGGTGGGAGAAGACAAGGCTGTAGAAGGCTTTGAACATCAGGGCCAAAATTTGAGGGCCCTTTTAATGGTCAATATGGATTCATTAAAGACTTACAAGCAGAGAAACAGGAAAATGACAGAATTAGAGAGTGAAGTACACTGTGAAGGGGAAGGCTGTCAGCAGGAGGGAGAGTTACATGGTTACTGCAACCGTCCCAGCAGCGAGTGATGAGATGCAGGACATACTGGCAGAAAAAAGATGTATTAGTCTCCTGTGAGAACATTCCATCTGAGCACCAGGGCTGGTGGATCACTGGGTATAAGAGTTATCTTTGGAAAGAGAGGGAGACATAGATTAAGTTAAAAGGGAGCTGGGAAGTTTGGACATGATGGAGCAAGTATTCACTGATGTTCTTAGCAAGGAAGTGATTAAAAAACCTCATAAACTTCCATCAGTGTCATTTCATGATTACCAGCTTTGTTTCATTATCAAGAGTCTTTCGCCCAAGCTATTTTGTTTTGACATACCTAGAGATTGGATGCCCTTTGTTGTTACTAAAAGGACAAGATTATGAATTCCTCCCAACTTGATTTGCCAACATAAATCAAATTTAGAAATTATGTAAAGGCTAAAAGTGTGTGGTGGTTTGTTCTGGCCATTAATCTCACATTCCTACTGATGACCCGGGGAGACACAGGAACTAGCATTGACAAACTTATTCTGCAGGTAAAAAGTACCGACTAAAATCATATAAAAGCTCATTGCTTATCCTAAAATTAAAATTCCCATTTGCAAATGGCACGGTAGGCATAAGTGAACACTACTGTGTGATCTAATTGAAATATATAATTGCAAGAGGGGTAAAAATATCTAGCTTATCAGTATTAATTTAACTGTTGGTGGTGAAAATATTTCTAGCATTAAGAAAGCACTTGTCATTTGATTTCATTAGAGAGATTAGTAAAGTAAAAGTGATTCTCCATGATGAAAACAATTAAATTGAAAGCAAGGTTAAAATATAATTATAACAGAAAAAAAATTCTGAAAAATAAGTGATATGCCCTTGGAAATACATTTGCAGGAGATGAAAGCAGAAGCAGAGTTCACACACAGCTCCTCACATCCCTATATTTATACAGCGGCAAATTTGTGCATTTTTCAAATCTTAACACTGACAATTCTTCAATAGTAACTAATTTTATAGAAACAGAAAGATTTCCAGTAATATATGAAGCTGTATTATTAATCAACATAAGCAGCCCAAACATTAATATAATTTACATCATTAAAGGCTAACAAAATAAAACTGTGACTAAATTAACATTGACTCATCAGTTATACAGTAATTGCTAACTAACTGTAAAATACATTACATTCCGTTTATTACTGTTCCAATTACAATGTCTTTTTCTATCTACTTCCATGCTTACCTGCATTTATCTAAAAAGAATGGAAAAACAAATACTTACCAAAATGGTGGTAACGATCAAAGAACGATTGGATAAGGAATCTGTGATGTTGGCTGGCTTTCCCTTTTGACTTTCTGTCATATTCAGACCACTGGCTGGATCCCAAGTTCCAATCTGTAAAATAGCATGTGTACTTTGTAAATTGTCCATCAGGCACCTGGGAGAGAGCACTGCAGAGAAAGTTAAGACTGCTAACACTTATTATTCACCTCTGCTGCACTATCTGCTGTTGTTTCAGTAAAGGCTGCTTGTTTTAAGCATGATTCACTGCTTTGTGGAGTGTGTCCAGTGAAGTGTGACATTAAAGAACAAAATGATCCATTGCACTTCTGCAGTCAGTGTGGGAGCTTAATTTTCCATTCAAACTTTCATTCACCAAGATAAACCACATTTGATGATACCTTAACAGCTGGCTAGAAACTCATTAACAGCACATATTTTTTACTGTAATGGATCTATTTTACCCTTTCATTACAAAGATAACATGCCATATTGTATGGACAAAGCTAAAAGACAGGGCAAAATCTGTGGATCCGGGATAAATTAATGGGTAAAGGCAGGCTTAAAAGAGGCATTGAATGGTATCTGCAAAACCCGTAGTAGGGCAAAATAATCCCCAAAATTACCTTTGGAGCTTTTGAAAATATACCTTTGAGTTTTAAAAATACTCCAGAGAAAGGATATTATTGCACAATCCCATCTGGATAACCCATTCCAGTACTTCTACTTGTATTCTATTTAATACATATTTTATTTAACTAATACCCTCTGATACATTAGGCCATATACTCTCTGCATTCAGAAATTTTATACTTACTAAACACAGTGAGCTTTTTTTTTTTAATATCCACTCTGAACTTTTTATTTGAGGAGTGGGTTCTGGGTGTTGCACCCAAGCCTATTCCAGGGCAGATTGTGGGAGTGGGGTGCAATTGAGGGGCATATAAGGAACATGGGCGGGATGAACAGGGTATTCCTGCCCCTCCTCTCCCCTCCTGGAGCAGCAGTTGTCAGTCTACAGTCTGTAGGATGACACAGACACACTCTCGACACACATATAAGCATAAGATGCCACTAAATACATAGTTTGGGAGGTTTACATACATGCACCTGCACCACTGCCTGTCATATAACAATGGTAACCACGAAAGAAAAGCAGAAGCAAAAAGGGATGCAGAATCAGCATTTCCTAGTCAGTATTACTTTTCCCACCCTCTTAAACCTGGGAGTCATTGATGTGAAATTTGTCATCCACATCCCTCGAGCCAATTATCCAACTTGTTTTCTTCAGATGAAAGGTAAGCTATCAATTATTGATTTATCTTTA